GGCTATTCAGCCTGAAAAAGTGCAGGCTCAGGCGTGATCTGGTGGCCACCTATAAGCTTATCAGGGGTGCTCATCGGGATCTGGGGGAACAACTGTTCACCAGAGCCCCCCAAGGGATGACAAGATCAAACGGTCAACAAACTCCACTGTGACCGGTTCAGGCTGGACATAAGAAAGAACTTTTCACTGTCCTTGCCCCCAAAGTTTGGAACAGACTGCCACCGGAGGCGGTTCAAGCACCCACTTTGAACGTCTTCAAAACACATTTGGATGCTTATCTTGCTGGGATCCTGTGATCCCTGCTGACTTCCTGTCCCTGGGGCAGGGGGCTGGACTCGATGATCCTCCGGGGTCCCTTCTAGCCCAAATGTCTATGAAATCTATGAAATTTACATCTCAGCTGTTTGGCACTGAAAAAGGGAGCTCATCCTTTTCTATAGAAAATGCCCATCTCCCTCCACTTGGGTCAGACATAGTCTCCATTCTGACACAGCCACCAGTGTGACCAGATACCACAACACTGCATTTCTTCCTTTCTTGGCTTTATTTCCCATTTCAATTTTATCTTCTCCCCTCCTAGAATTCATACTTCCTGAATTTACAGCTGCTAACACAATGTGATATGGCAGAAATAGATCTGTGTTGTTGAGGGCTGTTACTGAGCAGATAAAGGAACAAGAAGACCCAGGCTGGAAGTGGTAGCTGGGCAAATTCAAACTGGAAATACACGGCTAATTTAACAGTGACCATTGGAACAGGCCACCCAATGACATGGTTGATTCTTCATTTGAAATGTGTCTTTTTTTAAAGACAGAAGTTGTTAAACTTTGATGCTAGAATTAGTAGGTGAAATTCTGTTACATATGTTTCTAGCACTTCCCTCTGGATCTGATGGCTATTTATCCTATTTCCAAAATGTCATTTCTTTTCACAGTGGAGAGTCCTGTAGTATAATGGTATCAGGATCCTGAAAGTAGCCCTAATCGGTATTCAGAGTCCTTTGGTGCGTCTTGGAGAAGTTGAGCAGTCCCAAACATTGGTTAGGGTGGACACTCTAGCCCTGGTTACCAGACGCACCTCGGTCCAAAATTCCCTCTTATCTAAAATGAGATTGTGCCCCTCCACAGACATCACTTGCATTAGAAATTCTGCCTTTCCAAACTCCTCCCACATGACAGCACTCTCAGCCCCTGTTTTTTACCGATCAACAAGGTTGCAGGGTGCTGCCGCTGCTATCCAGAAGCCAGGAGGGCAGTTCAGCATTATCCTAGCCACTAGAAAGTAAATGTGTTTGCATCAATGTTCAGCCTTTGTTACACAGCCAGAGTTATGTGAAAGGCCTTAGTTTAACTAGGAATTCAGGCCCTTGCATCTGTATCCTTAGTGGCACTCGTGCAGCTCCATTGCCTTCACCGGTGTTCAAACATCTGAACAAATGGACCTTAGCAAAGGAGCCTGATGATGTAGTGGAGCAAAGAGGAAAGCCCATCATCTTAGCTTTCATAGCTCTGCTGATTGCAGGCTGACGGGAGGAGGGTGGGGGGAAGGAGAAAACTATTACAGACATCAGAGGTACCAGCTCTCAATCAATAAACGATCTGGGGGAACGTTTGTTCACCAGAGCGCCCCAAGGGATGACGAGGTCGAACGGTTGTTAACTACTGCAAGACCGTTTCAGGTGGGACATAAGGAAGAATTTCTTTACTGTCCGAGCCCCCAAGGTCTGGACCAGCCTGCCATCGGAGGTGGTTCAAGCACCTACTCTGAACACCTTCAAGAGCAAATTGGATGCTTATCTTGCTGGGATCCTGTGACCCCAGCTGACTTCCTGCCCTTTGGGCGGGGGGCTGGACTTGATGATCTTCCAAGGTCCCTTCCAGCCCTAATGTCCATGAAATCTGTGAAATACTGACAGTCAGTTGCTCTGCTGAGTACACAGGTGCCACTTAGTGGGATTTAACTATAATTTATATATCATCAATAACCAAAAATAAATATGCTGTCCCAGCCGCTTGCTCAGGGTTCGGGATTGAGAGTATGGTCAGGGGTAGAAAGGTGAGAAAGGTTTATTCACTTAAAGACACAACAACGCGTAGTAACAAGACAAACAATGACAGACCAGAACAATTTGCATCAGCAACTTATTGGCAGCCCCCTCTGCCTGTTGTACAAGAAGTTTCTCTTTGCACAAAGTTCAGTGAAGTCAGCCCCGATCAATGCTGTCCAAGGGGTACCGGGAGGGACCCTGGAATTCAGTTCTTGGACTCCTCGAGGTCCACAGGCCCACTGATCCAGGCCAACAGCTAACTAATCCTTTTCACAGAGCTACATCTTCCTTCTGAATGGTTTCCAGATATTCCAACTAATTTATAGCTTCTGAATTGTACTGATAATGTGCAACCACTCAGATACCTTTTACTTCAACTGTCCTTAGACTGACCAGTAGCAGTAAAGCCTTGCATTCCTTTGATAAGGTAATTTTAATTGTGTCACAGGACCTTACTACTTCAAGGCTTTGCTAAATTTACTAGGCCTTATTTTATACAAGGCCTTACTACATTTTCAACTTTAATTAGGCTTTTAGCAACAACATACAGCTTAATATCTAAACAAATACAGAAAAACACTTGGTCTAATCTTCGTAGAGTCTTCAGCAAGCACCTTTATCACACAGCCATACTTTTCAGCTGTCACAATATGCTGCTTGTTTGCTTGTACTAGTCAGCTTCTAGGCAAGGATCCCAACTGCTTTTGAGTTTGTAAAGCTAATTATTTCCATTCAGGTGCTGAGTGCCTCGGCACACGAAGTATAAAATTCTTCTTGACAAGACGTTTTCAAGTCTGCTGAAGTGTCCTCTGGTCTGGAAAGGAGCAGCTAACTCAACTGGCATCCAGTGCCCCTCCTCTTCCTCTGTGACTTCCCAGCTCCCCGCTTCCTTTCCCAGCTAACGGGAGGGATTTACAAGTAGATCTCAAGGAACTTACTGTGATAGTCATTATTGTTTGGAGTCAACCAGCACTCGGGCAAAGATGAACTGGAAACAAATCCTTTTTCTCTCCTGCCTGGCAACTTTTGTGCTCTTGACTGGTACGTACAATCCAGTAATAATACTGCTTAGATGGAGACTGGCATTTCAGTAAGAGATGAGCTAAAGCATGAACTCATCTAGGAGGGTAACATGTTATAGGAGCTATGTCATTTTTTTAAATGGCCAAGGAGTTTGAGAGTATGTATGTAAGAATTTAATCTAATCCATTCTACTCTATTCAAATCTTGAAACACTGTGATATACTAAGGAGAGGCTGGGTTCTGAGTGTATTGTACGCGGATTAAACTACTATCCCTGTAAAATCCTGTTCATCTCAAAATTGTTTTTATTTTTTTTAATCCAAAAATCAGTGACGAGCTAAGTCTGCACAGGCATAGGTGCTGAGCACACTGATGCTTTCCTATGAGAAAATGGATTTCCCAGACTGCCTGTTATTGGATTACAAGTGGATTTTTTTAGGGTTTTAGCAGGTTGTAGATTGAAGCATCTGCTTGAGGTCTGTCCTGTGGGATGCTGAATTCAATGCTCTGTTTGTGTTGTTGTCCTCCAGTACTTGAGGAGAGCGACACCGCTGCTGTGGGTTCCAGGAAAGCAGATGGGGAAGAAAATAAGGAAAGTAAGTGGAATTGCAAATTTTAGGAGGGAGAGAGTGGGAACAACGTGCATAAAGCATTCACATTTATATTGACACCCCCTCTTAACTATCAGCGGCCAATCAATTCCTCTCTCTATTCCCAGGTCTGAAAAAGATTTTCATACAAGAATCAGATGCCTCTAACTTCTTCAAAAAGCGCAGCAGGAGATCTACCAGCTCCATAGACGAGCTCAATGGTGAGGCTGTTTGGGAGTGTTTACAGAAAGTGGTATTTTCTTTCCCCTTCTCTCATCTTCCGCTTTCCTTGAGACAGTCCCAAGTTGACCTCCTGCCTCTCAAAGGATTGATTAGCTGATCAAAGGTGGCGGGTGGGGGTGGGGGTGGGGGTTGTTTCTTTTGGATTAGAAACTGTTCATCATTGATTATCTAAATTTTAAATGGCAGAATGTGCCAACGAATGACAATATGGAGGGAAAGCAAGAGGAGATAGATGGTGCAGGAGGAGAAGTGTAATTTTTATGGAATTGAATAAAAATGACACGGTAGGAAAATAAACCTGAGTGTTAGACATCCAGCTTAAAAGATTTAGGGGAAATTGAACTATTTGAGTAGGTTTAAAGTGATTAGTCATTAGAGTAATCTCCAAAATGAGTGAGTGTGTGTGTGCGTGTGTTGATACTTCCTTGAAATGAGGTGAGAAAGAAACTTAGAATGAATTTTTTTCATCTGCCAAATCTCTTAGACTTGGCTAATAGGACTGAGATGAATATTGTATCCTTGGCGTTTTCCAGAGGGCTCAGACATCAGACACCTCAGGACAGGCTGAGCTCAGCAGGCTGTCGTAGGAGGCACAGGGCAACATGGTGAAGTGAACGTGTGTGCTTATACAATCCATCCCCTCACCCCTTTCACGCAGTCATCCTGCGAAAGGAGCTAAACAACAAGCAGATCTCGGGTCCGGCACTGAATGAATGTTTTCATCTGTCCTTGAAAAAAACTGCGTTAGAAAATATGCACCTGGCTTCTGCAAGAACCTTAACTTCCAATTGGGAGGAATAAATGTAACAAAAGTCAAATGGCTTATTTGGTGAGGCGCTGGGGTTGGTATCAAATGAACTGCTTTGGTGCTACCTGTCCTTTTGATCAACAAAGCTACTGGTAGGTTATTGGGAGACGAGATAACTTTTTGGTAATCATTTGAAAATTACCTCAATTAAGGCTGATTCAAGTGGTTACATTTCAAAATACAGGGTCCAAATATATGTAAACCAGTGATCTATTTAGGTTGCAATCACTTGAATAATAGCAGGTAATTATGTAGTAATGATGCCTGTGTGATAGCATTTGCCTTCTACCGGTCTAAGTTAGTCCAGCGTATGCAGTGGCAAATACGTCTGAAGCAGTGTTTATTCTTAAATGAGCAGTAAATAATCATATAATGCCAGACACGTAGTAAAGCCAGAAGGGTCAAATCCTACTCTCACTGACAAGACACAAGCCCACTGAATTCATTATTTCAGTACTAAACTACTGAAAACAATAATTTTACACTGCTGTGCCTGAGAGTGCAAGTTGGCCCAACAGCACAGACATAGATTATGTGGTCATATCTTTTGCTCGATATCCCACTAAATTGAACAGTAAAATTGTCCTCTATCAGTCTGTGATCAGACTGAGATCCAGAGCTTCCCAGTGGTAAGGTCTGATCTAGAAAACTCCCTTTTCTCACACTGCTGCCCCAAAGCTGACATCTCCAAGCCTTCCTGTCTGGTCCATTTAACCATTACCACTAATGCCACCATTTCCACCCATCCTTCAGCATATCAGGGAGGCATAAGTGGGACACCTCTACCCAGCTTCAAATTGTATGATGTATTCCCCGTCTCCCTTTCTTTACAGTACATATGTGATTTAGCAATAGGTCCTTATATATCATGAAATTATTTATCTTATTGAGCCATAATGCAAAGGGCTAACTGCTGAGCACTTCCCGTACTATCAAGTCATGGAGCAATATCCCTGGAGAGAGGTTTTGAAAGATGAGTTCACATCAATATACCACCATGGAAGAAGAATAAATTAGTGGCTGGAGATGTTGCCAGGCTTCAGCTGACAGGAATCAGACCAGCATCCTCTCACACAAGATAGCTCAGTGGATATTTAAGTGATGGATCAAGAGGAGCATGATGAGTTTGTCCTAATTCCCAGGCAATCATAGAATCATAGAAGTGGGGCTGGAAGGGACCTTGTAGATCTTCAAGTCCGACCCTCTGCCTGGGCAGGAGAAAAACTGGGCTCAAATGACTCCAGCCAGGTAGGCATCAAGCCTCTTCTTAAAGACCCCCAGGGTAGGAGCCAGCACCACTTCCCTTGGAAGCTGGTTCCAGATCCTAGCTACCCTGACCATGAAGTAGTTCTTATGGATGTCTAATCTAAACCTCCTCTCCAACAACTTGTGACCGTTATTCCTTGTTATGCCAGGGGGCGCTTGGGGAAACAAGGTCTCTCCCAAACCCTTCTGGTCCCCCCATGTGAGTTTATAGCCAGTCACCAGGTCCCCCCTCAGCCTTCTCTTGTGAAGGCTGAACAGGTTCAGGTCCCACAGTCTGTCATTGTAGGGTCTG